AACCACTGACCATTCATTCAATTAGCAGCTGAGCGCTCATCCACTGTGCCCCGAGAGCGCTTCTCAGCTCTCTGTCGCATAAGGCATGACAAGGGAGAGGCCATTAAGGAAAAGCCAGGCTAGACTCATAAGAATTGTTCCCAGGGACAGGGCTGCAATGAGGCTGGCCCCCGTGGCCTGAAAGAGAGAAGCACTCTTCTCGAGCGAGGGAGTTCTATGTCAGCAAACAGTTTCCCAGGAAGTCACCAAGTGATTCCAGAGGCAGTGCTGTGCTTCAGAGGGGTCTGCCTGTCCACAGAGACCGAAAATGATAACTCGGGGCTTTTGAGCTCCTCCCACTTGCTTTCCTTCTTGGGCTTATTTGAAGGATGCTTTTCATTTGCCATGTCTGTTTGGCTCCCTAGGAGCAGAAGGAAGTTTCCAGAACCCTGGGTTAAAAAATTCAGGAGACAGTCCTTTATTTTACCTTCCTCCCCAGTGAAGGCAGCCGTCACTGCTGTCCGGGGTCCTTCACTGGTCCCAGCCAGCTCGCTGTGAAGTCTTCCACAGCTTAGCCATCACCTCTTCCCCTTAGAGCAGTGCTTCTCAACCTTTCTGATACCACAACCCTCTCATGCAGTTCCTCATGTGGTGGTGGCGCCCCCCCTCCCCCCCGCCCCCAACCACAAAATTACTCTCCTTGCCACTTCATCACTGTCATTTTGCTACTATTATGAAATGGGTGACCCCTGGGAAAGGGTCGTTCAACCCCCAAAGGGGTCGCAACCCACAGGTTGGGAACTGCTGCCTGAGTGGCTCCCACTCCGTGCCCCAACACAAACCCACTGTCATTGAATCCATTCTGACTCATAGTAACTCTACCGAGGATTTCGGAGACTGTACATGGGAGCAGAGCATCTAGGGGGTAGCTGATCAGCTGGAACTACCAACCTTGCACTAAGCAGTCCACTGTGGGCCCCATCGTGTCACCAGCAATCCTCCCCAGCCTCTGGCACTCCTCTGACAACAGGAGGGCCAGCGAAATGGATGCCTGCATGCACTCCAAGCGCAGTCCTCTTCGCTTCTCTGCCCGCCTCTTGCACTTATTTCTGCCTTTCCTGGTTTCCCCAGCCCACCCCTTCTCTTTGCCTCCAAAGTAATAACCCATTTCTCTCCAGTTTCCTGAAATTGATCATCATTTCTACCGCCCGCGAGAGGGCCTAGTTAATGAAAAGCCTGTCAATAATATGAGGGACATTTATTAAATGAAAATTATGCTTGAGGATGACAGAGAGCATCACTCAAGGCGAAGGGTTCAGAAAAATAATCAAACTATTTTGAGAAATGTTTTGTTTGGCAGGTTTTGCATTAAGCACCAATATGTGTACTATACAGAGACTCCCTGCTTTAGGGAGCAGATGGGAGAAGGGATGGCGGTGAGGCTCTGCAGCCCAGAATCTGAATTCACAGCCATCCTGCCCAACCACAGACAACTGTGAGCTGTTGGTCACTACCCGAAATAGTCTATAGAATCATACAGTGTGTCTCTTATTGGCTACTCTGACCTTGTTTCCCATTACTGAGTAGAAATATTGCCTTTCAGAAGTGATTTAGTTGCTTGGGGAGCAGCAAAAATATAGCAAAGGTGACAGTTATCTTTAAGGGCACAGCCTGGGTCCTATTCATCTATGAATCTCCTGCGCCCAGTACAGGTCCATGTTACACATACTGCTTTATGGACAGCCAGTACTCAGTAGATAGTGAACAAATGCCAACTACAGTATTAAATGGTCATATGCTTAGCAAAACACACACACACACACACACACACACACACACACACACACACACCTAGTTAATTATTGAGAGTGCACCCATAAACCCATTGACACCGATTCGATTCAAGCCCATAGTGACGCTGTAGGCTGGAATAGAGCTATTCCATTGGTGTTCTCCCATCTACTGGCTGGTGGGTTGGAACTGCTGATTATTCAATTAGCAATTAAGTTCCTTCACTGAGTGCATACTATGCACAATTGCTGTGTTAAGCACCTTACCACCTTTAATTTGCACCACAACCAGCTAAGCAATACCTCACTTGGCTGCATAACACAAATCTTAAACTCTGATGTCCATATACTCAGAGTAAACTCAACTGCCCTCAGATCTCTGTTCCTATAGACGTCCACTTTTCTCCCTCTGATACAGGAATATACCCAATAATATATTAATTTCCTACTACTAATTTTGGAATCACTATTTGCACTGGTAGCTGGTACCAGATCAAACCCAGCAGCCGCTCCGGTACAGGAAGATGAATCTGTCTTAAGGGTGGTGAGGCTGGCTTGGGTTTGGCTTGCTTGGTCCTTTGCCTTATTAACTTCAGAAGGGAGGGATGAAGCGGGCTATAAAGTCATCCAGTAGAATTTAAGTAAGAGTTCTATAGCCTTGTTCTGGGTCAGGGATTGAGAGCTATAGAATCCAGAGTTGCCTAATTAAAACCTTCTCCAAAGTGCCACCACTGTGTATGAATGAGATGCTTAGAGTGGTAGGTGCACCGTGTGCATGCATGTCTCTGAACAACCTGGGCTGTGACTCATGTCGGACCAGCAGCCCCTTTCTCCCAGTGAAAAAGGCTACATCTGAGATAGGCTTCCTGTGAGACCAGGACTCTCCATCTTCTCAAGAGCCAGCTTTCCCCCAGATGCAGCGCAGATGGCTTCCTCAGACAACGTCTATAAACAGCTGGCAACCGAAATCCAGACTGCTTGGTAGTAAGCATTCTTTAACCACCCAATTCTAGCTATATAAAATGGGAGAGACAAAGAGAGGAGAGGTACTTGGAGGGGAGGGAACCCCAAAGCAACACACCAACACACAGTGTGTCTAGCAGATGCTTTGTATTTGTTTAGATCTTCCAAAAAGCAGATGCTAAAACCTAGTCACAACTATCAGTGATTTATTAGGGACCCTGCCTGTGAAAGCTGAGTGGAGATGAATCAGAAGGGGCTAGGAGAGCTTTCAGACTACCGTGTGAATCTGAACCCTGAGTTAAAAAGAGGAGAAAGAAGGTAGCTTGGGGAGGAAGAACTCCAGACTTTGGGGCCAAGGTCATCCTGGCAAGTCCAGTGGGTGGTGGCAATGTGGATTGGGACTAGAGGGCTCCACACTGCTTGGACTTGGTCAGGTCCAAGTCCACATATGATGCTCAGGCATCAGCTGTGAGCTTCTTGAGGACATATTGGCCCTACTGTAGTAGATCTCAGACGCTGTAACTATGGGCGGTGCACTCCCTGTGGCAAGTCTCTTGAGGTGAGATAGGAAAGGCACACCTCTATGGGTGCTTACTGGCTTATTATGCATTTGATGAGGTGATAAAAGTAAAATCTATTCCTGACCCTTCATTATGAGATCTTGTAGCATTGGCTCTGGAAATTGGTATATAATAGGATAGAGATGGGACACCTACCTCCCTGTCATAGTGTGATTAATTGAAGCAAAAAGAAATCATTTATTCCTCATTTCCCTGATATCCAGAGGGTGGAATAGTGATTCTCAGCCTGTGGAGATTAAGCATTGCAGGGCCTGATTATACCTACAGTGTGGGTGGTATGATGGGTCCTCCTATAAAAGTACTCTAAATGCTCCTCAGTACATGCTGATGGACTTGACTTATATGCGTGCATTTTCAGCATTCACAAAGATGACCAGCTTCAATTCAATGGTACCTATTTAAGTACAATGTGGACAGGATTTATAAGAATGATAATATGGGTGGATTACAGGAGAGTGAGAAAAGTAATGCTGTTGACTTTGTCCAGGGACAGAAGGAGGTCAGGCCCAGAAGTATTGTAATGGTTGTTATTCAAAAACCACAGTGAAATTCTGCTTCATACTCATTAGGATGTCTAGTATCAGGAAAGAAACAAAACAAAACAAAACCAACAAAATTTGTCAAGGTTATAAGGAAATTGGAACTCTGATCCATTGCTGTTAGGATGGTAATGTGTACAACCAATGAGGAAAAGAGTGGTTAGTCAAAACTTGAAATGTACAATAACCATATGACCCCCAAATTCCATTCTGAGGTGTGTACATGAAAGCCAGGACTCAAAATAATGTTTATTTCAGTATTATTGACAATAGGCAAAATATAGAACAACCATCCACAACGAATGGATAAACAACGGTGGTCTATCCAAACAATGGAATTACTCCACCATAAAGAGAAATGAAATTTTAACACATCCTAAGACATGGGTGGACTTTTGAAAACCTTGTGCAGAATCAGATCATAAAGGACAAATATTGCATAATCTCGTGTACTTGAAATCTCTAGATAAAGTGAGTGTATAGAGATCAACATTTGTTAGTACTTTCCAGACGCTGGGAGAGGAGAAAAGGTGGAAGACTGATAAGGAAAACTGAGTTGTGTTTAGGATGATGAAAAGTATGGAGAAATTGAGAAAACACCTCACCGTCCTGGCTTCTAAGGAGCATTCTGGCTGTACTTCAGTCCATGGTACATTCAGTATTTTTCACCAGCACCATAATTCAAATGTATCCACATGTCTTTGATCTTCCTTATTCAATCACTGTCCAACTGTCCCACTCCTAGGAGCTGATTGAAAAAAGCATGGCTGGGTCAGGCATACCTTAGTCCTCAACATCCTGGTTTTTCAATACTTTTAAGAGCTCTTGTACAGAAGATTTACCCAATGCAATGCATCTTTAGATCTCTTGACTGATGCTTCTATGAGCATTTACTGTGACTCCAAGCAAGGCAAAGTCTGTGACAGCTTCAGTTGTTTCTCTGCTTGTCATGACGTTACCTACCAGTCCATTTGTGAGGTTTCTGGTTTTCTCTACATTGAGTTGTCCATACTGAAGGCTGTAGTCCTTGGTCTTCATAAGAAAGTGCTTCAAGTCTTCCTCCCTTTCAGCAAGCAAAAATGTGCCATCTGCAAATCACAGGCCATTAATAAGCCTTCCTCCAATCCTTCCCCCACGCCTCCACACCCCACTGTGCACCCCACTTCAGTGCCTGAAGCCAATGGCCAAGGCCAGGCAATGGTTCAAGGCTATAGTTTGCTCTGGCCTGGGACACTGTGAGAGGCCCATGGGGATGAGCCTGCCATAAACCCCAACCCGTGCATCCTCCAGTCCTGATACAGCATTCTAGCTTCTCTGATTATTTGCTCAGTATACAGACTGTATAAGTATGGTGAAAGGACACCACCCTGTCACACAGGTTTCCTACTTTTATGTCTTGTGCTGTTTGCACAACTGCCTCATGATCCATGTATAGATTCTGTATGAGCTAAATGAATTGTTCTGAAATTTCCATTCTTCTCAAGGCTACCCATCATTTGTTAAATGCCTTTGAATAGTCAATAAAACTCAAGCAAACATCTTTCTAGTATGTTTTAATTTCATCCAAGATGCATCTGACAACAGCAAGGATAGCCCATATTTCAAGTCTTCTGAAGCTGGCCTGGATTTCTGGCCACTTCCTGCCAATGTACTACTGCAATCATTACTGGATGATCTTCAGCAAATTTTTATTTTCATGTAATATTAATGAAACTGTTCTATAAGTTGCACTTAATAATAGGTAACCTTTTGTTGGAATGAGTACAAATCTAGCCTTCTTGTAGTCAGTTGGCTAAGTAGCTGTCTTCCAAATTTCTTGGCACAGACTGATGAGTGCTTCCAGTTCTTCATTAGCTTGTTGAAACATTTTATTTGGTATTTCACAAATTCCTGGAACCTTGTTTTTGGCTGATGCCTTCTGTGCAGATTGGGCTTCTTTAGTACCATTGCTTCTCATATGCTGCCTCTTGAAATGGTTGAATGCTGGCTACTACTTTGTGGTACAGTGATGGTGCATTTTTCCCATCTTCTTTTGATGCTTCTTGCATCATTCATCATTTTGCCCATAGTATCTTTCAGTATTGCAACTTGAAGCTTGAATTTTTTTTCATTAGCTCTGTCATAGGTAGGGTTATTGTGCCAACCTGGCCAATAGGAACATGTGGGATTAATAAGGTCGCAGTTTGATTGGAAGGCAAAGAGAGAAATAGCTCACCAAGCCCTGCTATTCTCTCTCTTGCTCTCTGGTGATCGGACCAGCATATGGCTGCTTTAACTAGTTCTCAGCCTCAACTTGTTAGCTACACTACCTGTGGAACAGCCAACCCGTGACTTATGTCGCTAGAGCTTGAGGTTCCTTTGAGACCTGCTTTACCATGATGCTGGTGTATACATTGCTTGAGCTTGAGGCTGTTGGATCCTGTGATCTTGCATTGCTTGGGTTTGATATTCCATCCAGGCCTGCTTCGCTAAGCTCCTGAGCTAGTGATTATTGGTAACCTGCTCTACCTATAGCTGGACTGCCTGCATTGCCTGCAGTTTAAGATGTGCTTAGGGTGTTCCACCTTTGGACTTTCTAACTCTAGGTTTTTGCATATTTCATTATAATACTTGGCTTTGTCTTTTCAAACTGTCCTTTGAAAATGTCTGCTCAACTCTTTTATTTCCTGATTTCTTCCATTTGTTTTAGCTACTCTACGATTAATAGCAAGTTTCAGTCTTCTGAGAGCCACTTGGATCTTTTCTTTCCTGTATTTTAAATAACCTTTGGCTTTCTTCGTGAATGATGCTCTTGATGTCATCTCACAGCTCATCGGGTCTCTTGTCATTAGTATTCAATGTAACAGATCTATTTTTGCTCTCATTGACTTGTTTAAATATTCTTCTCCTTCAACCTGGACTTTTATATGAGCAAGTGATACACTGTTCCACATTCTATCCAGGTCCTAGATTTAGCAGCTGATATTGAGCTTCTCCATCATCTTCTCTCACAGATGTAATCAATTTGATTTCTGCGCATTCCATCTGGAGAAGTCCATGCACTGCTAAATAAAGGCATCTGCAATGAAGTTGTTGGTCTTGCCTAATTCATTCAGAGATTTCTAGCATCGTCACTATCAGCAAGTTCATATTTTCCAACTATTGTTCCTTCCTCTTTGTTTCCAAGTTTTGTATTTAGATTACCAATAATTACCAATGTATCTCAATCGCCTGTTTGATTTATTTCAGACTGAAGACATTTGTAGAATTCTTTGATTTCTTCATCACTAGCTTTAGTGTGTAGTGCATAATTTGAATAATAGTTATATTGACTGGGTTTCTTTGTGTGAGGATAGATATAATCCTCTCACTGACAGCACTTCAAGTTATATCTTGAAAGGTCCTTTTTGATGAGGAATGTCATTCTCAGCATAGTAAGCCACAGAACTGCCTTTTTCAAAATGGTTAATACCAGTTCATTTCAGCTCACAGATACCTACGATATCAATATTTATGCATTCTATTTCAGTTTTGAGTACTTTTAACTTTCCTAGAATCACACTTTGTACATTTCTTTGTTAGTAGATTTTTTTATTGGCATAAATTTACATATACAATTCAATAGCTCAATAATATTAGGAAGAGTTGTGTAATCATCATCACAATCATTTTAGAACATTGTCTACTTCCTTTTAGTTATTGTTGTTAGCTCCTCATTTCCCTGAAACTTCCTGTCGCTATATATTTACTGATTCTGAATTTCATATATAGAAAAACATAGATGAGTTAGTTAGTTTATTGTACCAACCTGGTCGATAAACACATGTGGGGTTAATTGAATGGCAGAGGGATAAATGGCTCAGTGAGCCTCGGCTTTCTAGTTCTCAGGTCTCTTGCTTTCTGATGGTTGAAGCAGGGTGCAGCTGCCTTAGCCAGTTCCCTGCTTTAACTGGCAAGGCTCACTCCCTGCAAGATGTCCCTGAGGAGAAGCCACATGGACCTACCCTGGTGCAGCCCTGGGTGCTGGAGCAGCCCTGTGGAGACCCCTGCCAGCACTGAGGTGTTTCCACATTCACTGACTCAGCTTTCCTCCTGCAGTCGGCATCATTGCGTCTATTTTGTGAGATGGAGGAGGATTTTGTGGATTGGTGTTGGACATATGGGTTAATGGGTTAATATTGGACTTGTGGGCTTGGGCAGCACTGGGTTGGGATGTTTTCTTGATGTGCACTTAACCTTTATATAGAACTCTCTCTTTATACATGAGTTTCTGTAGATTTGTTTCTCTAAAGTACCCAGATGAACACAATAGAAAAACAAAATCAAGAAACAAACAACTAGCCAATGGCAAAATAAAACAAAAACCTCAATTAAACAAATAGTAGAAAATACAACTAGAACAAAGAGCAATGGATCAAAAAAGAAACCAAATGTTTTTCATTTTAACATAATTGCATCTGCATTATCAGCTTTACAATGTTCTCTGGGTGATGGTAAGGCTATTCACATCTCTGGACAATAGTCAGAGGAGGTTTATCAGATGCTTAATCCAGGTGGGCATCCTGTAAATGGATTTTGGGCTTCCAGTGTCATCCATAACCTTCTGCAAACTGAGTATTCAGAACTTAAGTTCTGATACTGTTCCCTTCTCCAAATTTAGATTTTATTATTTATAATTCTTGGACCACACAGGCTGGTATGCTTCTTATGTGTGGACTTAGCTGACACCTCATGTAGATGGCTGCTTGAAGACAGACTTTTTAAGAACCCAGGTGCTATTTCTTCTGATAACCGCTTGCCATATGCTTTTTGCTGTTTTTAAATAACCCAAATTTCTCAGATGAATGAAAACAAAGCGCTCAGGCAAAATAGCAACAAAAACAAGCAAAGGAAATTTATGAACTAAATCTATGATCAATAAGGTTTAGATTCAAATTTTTTTCTTCCTTTTCCAACTAGTGTGGACCTAGGAAGTTTCAATATTCAATTAATATTATGCCCCTTTAAACAAATAGAGGTTTGCAGATGCTCTTACTCATTTTGAGTGGTACCCCATAATCAGATGAAGGTCCTGAAAGATGCTCTCCCAGCAAGCGATTATGGTCGGTTCTGCTTTCAGAGGCTGCTTGGCCTCAGCCCTATTTTCAGTGCCTTTGGACCTAGACGCTCATCTCCTCGCACCATCTGACAGTGTTCTCCTGGTATTCATGATAGTTTCAGTCTCTGACAACGTTCTGCTAGTATTCATAAGGTTTTTAGTGGCTAATTCTGCTGAAGTCGAAAGCCTATGTCTCATTAGAGTCTGTTTTTAGTCTAAAGCGCTGCTAAAACCTGTTTGCTTTGCATAACCTTGCTGGTATTTGAAGTACTAGTGACATAGCTTCCAGCATCACAGCAACAAGCAAGCCACCACAGAACAATAGACTGACAGTCAACCGGAGGTCCCATGCCTTAGCAGTATCTTAATCGCTGCAGTATTTTTAGTGCTCCTATTTCTGAAGCCCTTTTGTTACTGTCTGTCTTATTTTTATTCTTTGCTATTTCTTGAGGCTCATATTTTTTCACTGAAAAGATTGGTTTTGATCATCTCTTACTGTGTGCCCAGCACTCTTCTAAGCATGCTTTGTATATTCGTTCTTTTAACCCTCAGAGCAACCAACCTGTAAGGTAGATAATGTTTCAGTTCCACTTTACAGGGGAAGAAGCTTGCGTTTGGAGAGTTTGCTCCAGGTTATTCAATCAATAAGGTGCAAAGCAGGGATCAGAATCACGGAAGCACGTTCCTCAGGCCACAGGATACTGCCTCAGATCAGAGGTGCCCAGCCTTTACAATAACTTGGGATGCTTGTCAAGGAAATGAAGGTCTGTCCCATGGAAGGAATGCCTCAGTGGGTTCCTGGTGTTGTTAGTTGTCTAGTTGCTGTTCACTTGATATACCTCATGGTGACCCCATGTATGCAAATATTGGGGTTGGATTCCTGGTGACAATGTTGGGTAAGCATTGGACTGGTAATATCAAAGTTGGTGGTTCAAACTCACCAGCCACTTCATGCAAGAAAGTTGAGGGTCTCTGCTTGCATAAAGATTTTTTTTTAAGCCTCTGCTTGTTTCGTTTATTTATTTATTTATTTTTTCTACTTGAAGGTGTTTTTGTTTTGTTTTGTTTTATTTTTTTAAACATTTTACTTGGGGCTCATACAACTGTTATCGCAACCCATATACGCATCAATTGTGTAAAGCGCATTTGTACATCATTCTCAAAACATTTTCTCTCCACTTAAAGATTTACAGATGTGGGAACG